TAAAAGCATTAAGAAGATTATTTTTGTAGAAAATCCAAGAGATTTCTCTGTCATTCTTTCTAGAGCACACACATAAACACATAGTGAGTTTAAGTGTGTTGTTCAAATCCTGATCGTGATTATACAATCGCATATACAATGATCAGAGAAAAACAGATCTACTTCTACATCGAATTCAGATATTGAAGAACAGAAGTAAAAGTGATTACACTTTGAAAGGGTCAAAGCATTCATGGAGTGTTATTTAATCTACCTGTTGCCCTTCAACAAAGATCAAGCATAAACTTGAGGTCAAGTTGCTATTGGACGGGACGTCACAAAATCAGTGGATTGTCAACTATTAGAATTTGCTAGAACGATAGGGTGTGAGCCAGAGTCAAAGTGCAGTATACTTTGTTTCATACATAGTGGATCAGTTTACTTTGGACTGCACAGTTCATGAGGTTTTTCCTGCGTAAACAGTTGACACATGTTATCAACTGGGGTTTCCTCGCTAAAAAATCCTGGTGTCATCTCTAACACTTTACTTTATTTTACTATGGATGTGATTAAGTATTTAATTGCTAAAATAAGTAAAGATAGAAAGACACGGATCTGTTTCTAAAAATACAAAACTTTCTAAATATTCTACTGCGTTCAACTCACAAATGGTGGGTCAAAACCTACAACAAGTCCTTTCTACGACAACCCAAACAAAGGTCTGAAGAAACTAAATATCTATAGCTAACTTATGCAATAACTATATAGTCGATAAGTATATATATATAAACACTAAAGACTCTCACTGGATTAAGGCAGACTCAACCGTGTAGTGGGTCTCTCATGTAAATCGTACACAAAAGTGGTCACGAGTCCACCTTCTACCAGGGAAGGCACATCCCTAAATCTAGTTATCCTTCTCAATTGGCAATATATACCTCCACCCTAACCACTGATCACAAGACCTCAAACTTGTATCATGGTACATATAATATCATTATGAATATAATTAACCATATCCTAACAATGGAATACAAATAACAATCATACCCATATCCTAACAATGGGCTGGAGAATTATATCTATAAAATATATAATAGTCATATCCTTACAATGGCATGTCATCCATATCCTGATAATGACTTGACATAAAATGAGTCTAAACTTATTAGCCATCTCATCCAGATAATACAATACAAAGCCATATCCTAACAATGGCATACATAGAACTAAATCCTGACATTGGTCCTCAAATAATCCAAACATATATATATCATGTCCAAGATCATAGAATACAGATATTCAATTGATTAAAATCATATCATATTACAACAGTAAATAACATCTAATTTCATGTCATTAAATCATAAGAATAGCTTATAATTTAATTAATCTTATTACAACATTTATTTCACATAAACTAAACCTTAAGCATTATGATATTTTATATTTACAACCAATTAAGCGATCTCCAAACACATCACATGCTAAACATTTAATCTCAATTGCTAACACAAATTTAAAGATTAAATTCATTAATTCATTATTAAATAAATTCAAATTGCATGCATCGTTGTATTCATGCCTATTTAAATTCACAAATCATTTTCCCTAAGTCCCTACTTAGGATTTGGGGCCTTAACTAATCAATTCGGGGTTGAACAAAATAATTTTTACCAAAAACCCTAGATAGTGCTCGAACACTATCCTTACTGTACTCGAGCACTGTTTCATGAAATAGCTCGAGAAGTCCAATTTTCATCATTATAAACACGCAAGCACAAAATCACATCATTATAACATGTAGAAATTCACTAAAAATAAGATCTAAGCCATGAATTTACCAACTCATACATCAAGAACTACGAACATAAACCCATAAAAACTTATGCTCTAGATCAATTTAAACATGGATTCAGATTTTGTAATACCCCTAAATTTTTGCAAGGCTTTTATTTATTTGCTATTTTATTTTATTTGTCTACGTGGCTATTTAAATTGTTTGTGCATTTGTTTTAGGGTTTAATTGTTTGTCATTTAAATGTTAGATATTTGGTGTTTATTTTATTTTTATTTACTTGGCTATTTGAATTGTTGGTGTAGTGTTTAATTATTTAATAAAAATTCTTTAGTTAATTGGATTTTTTTTCATTCGTGTTATTTTAGATTTATTTTTAGTTAGTTGTATGGATGGGAGTTATATATACATATATATATATGTTAAAGTATTATATAAATATATGTGTATGATTAGTATAAAATAAATATATATATAATTTTATTGAGGTTATAAAGTATATATATGTGTGTGTGTGTGTGTGTGTATTTATATTTATAAATAGGGATATGTATACGGTATATATATGAGGTGCATATATGTGCACAGGTTGTTAAATTGGTAATTGAATTGTTATTGTAATATTTTATATTTTTTAATGTTGTAACATTAGTGGTTGTCTAAGGCAAAACGTGGTAGTATTGGTTGGTTGATAGTTGCATTGTATAAAGGGTAATGTTATGGTGTGGTTGTCATTATTTTAGTTAGTGTAGGATTAGGTTAGTATATTATAATTATATATATATATATATGTTAAGGCTTTGTGTGGGAGAGGTTGTGCAACGAAACAGTAAAGAAAAAAACAAAGAGGGCGGTGTGAAACTGAGAAAAGAAAGAGAGAAAGAGAGGAAGAAAGAGGAAAAAGGAAGAGAGAAAAAAAGAGAGGAAGGAGGAGAGTGGTGAGGCCGGTTGTTATGGGCGATAGTCGGAGCGCAGAAGTAGACGACGGCGACCCAAAAGCCGCCGGCGTCAAAGAGAAATTTGAGACAAATGGTGTAGAGTTTCTACCCGAAATTCTTGAGGCAAGTCCTTGTTCTATTCAATTCTCTTTGACTTCATATTCAGTTCGTCTCTAGGAGGATTCTAGGTTAAATTACAGAAAAGAAATTGTTTAATTGCATGACTAAATCGGATCATTATAGTGTGATTTTCATATATATATATATCTATATATATTTCAAGAAAACCAAGGAATATATATATATATATATATGTGTGTGTGTGTGTGTGTGTGTGTGTGTGTGTGTGGTTGTTGTATCCATTAAAATTATTTAGTGAAATATCTTATATTTTATCCATTTTTAACTCCACCCTGAAATAATTACCTACAACACCTTAGCTGTGAAACGAAGTTTTTCCTAGACATGTATTGTTTTATAAATATAAAAGGTTAACTGTAAAAAGAAAAAAAATTGTTTGTGTTAAGAAGTTTTGGTACAGAACTACATATTGTTATCTTCAATTACTACGTATTAGAATGAGTGAAAGATATATTTGTTGAGAGATTACCTTACAAATGTTTCAATAGTTAAAAGGGATATATTTCAATCCAGCACAAGACACGGACAATATGTGAACAAACAGCAAGTTATATATCTACAAACATATGTATATAGTATATGTTATGCATGCAAATGCATGGTTATGAACAGACTTTGATTTTCACAAATGTATATTGGATGTCTATTTGGGTTTACATTTAGCATGTGGGCATTGTTATTAACATGTTAAGGTTTAATCTAAAAAAGTCATAGCTTAGATTTCTAGGTTTGTATAGGTTGACTGTTATAGATTTATTTGCATGGTAAGTATGGTAATGAAAGTACAATATTATAATGGAAGTTATTTAATTTGCAAGTTATAAATTAAATGTTTAAAAGGGGCCTACCTTGTCATAATAATTATAGTAGAGGATGTTATTATGTTAATTGCTCATGTAATGGTAAATGGTTTTACTTACATTATAAGTAAATTGCCTGGTAAGTATAGAAGCTTACCGCCATGTAAAGTACTCAAATAAATTCTAACAATAATGTATGTGAATTTTATGTATACATATTTGTATATATGTATATAATGGAGGATCATTGTCAGGATATGGTCTTACCAGCACCATTATTAGGATATGGCTTGCCGGTATATATATGGGCTGACTAATAGGTCTAGACCCATACTTTTAGTCATACCATTGTCAGGATATGGTTATAACCTTAAATTGTGCCATTGTCAAGATATGACTATAGTTAATTACATAAATATATTTTAATTAAGTACCATGATACGAGCTTGAGATATCGGAATCGATGGTTAGGGCTGGCATATATTGCCAGGTGAGATGGGTAGCTGGATATAGGGATGTGTGTGCCCTGGTAGAAAAGGTACTTATGACCACCTTGTGTGCACTTGTATGAGACCTATTATCCGGTTGAGGTTGTCTTATGATCTAGTGAGAGTCTATAGTGTGTATACTTATATATATTGACCTACGTAACTATTGCACGAGTCGGACTAGAATGTATCATTTATTGGGTCTCTGTTTGGGATGTAGTAAAAAGGGCTTGTTCGTGAGTTTTAACTCACCGTTGTTGTTATCTTTTTAGGTCCTCAACAGTTCTAAACATAGAGTCAGTTAGTGTAGAACAGAGGCCAGTCTTCATCACTCTTCCGGTGTCGTCAACATAGGACCTCCACTATGTTTTTCATTATTGTTTTTTACTTTTGAGTTAGACATTTATTTATTTTCTCTGTTAGTTTGGGATTTTTATTAGGGGTCCACATTGTATGGATTCCCAATTTGTACTCTGGAGGTTTTATTCTTATAAGGAGAATTTATTAGAGATTATGTTATCAGAGGATTTTTTATTTAATTATTATTTTAGATTTCTCTTTCAGCGATATTTATTTATTTTATTATTTTTCCTTTTGTATTATGTGCTTGCTTATTATTGATTGGCTGATATCTCCTAATTTTGTGCTCGGACCTGGTAAACCCATATTTCGAAATTAAGGGTATCACAGTTGGTATCAGAACACTCCAGGTTTAAGTGTCTCTAGGGTTTCGTTCGTTATAAGACTGCTGCGTAGTGTATTTTTTTGTTTGGAGCCTAAGTATTAGGGTTCACTGTATTCTTTTACGGTTCATTAAATTATGTACTGATTTCCATCTTATTGTGTTAATAGAATGGTTAATGCTGGAAGAAGATAGGAAAGGCAGTAGAGGAGAGCGGCGCGTAGACAATAGGATCGTCTGCGATGTCAGTAGGTTACAGAGGAGCAACAACAGCCTAGGTTTCAAGAGGAGGAGGAGCAGTAACAAACTCAGGAGTCTTAGGATCAGAACGAACATCAGGGCAGGTATCCCAAGTATCCTCTTCAGTTAGCTGACATCATTGCTTAGGCTATAGCAGCAAGCGTAACAACTGTACTTTAGAATCAGCCACAGTTTCAGCAGGCACCTGTGCCAATACCGATAGTTCAGGCTAACCCTTGGGAGAAGGCTAGGAATTCTTTCACAAAGGGGAGCCCATCTGAGTTCTCAGGCTCCACCGATGTGAGTGTGGCTCATCAGTGGAAGAAAGATATAGAGCGTCATCTTCACATGGTTAAGTACACAGAGGTTCAGAAACAAATACTTGCTACCTTCAAGCTTGTCAGAGATGAACTCCAGCCTTGGAAGAAGCACAAGAATGATTCAAATGTTCAGAGAAATAGGGCACCTATTCAGAGGCAGCAGAATAGGGCACTACAATCAGTACAGGGTCAACCTCAGGGTAACTAGCAGAAGAAACAGTTTGCACTTTTAGAGGCTTTTGTTATGGTTATGGAAAGCTCGGGCACACATCTAAGAGGTGTCCCAAGGCTATGTAGGGATATCATATGCAGCAGGGGCAGCGAACCACCATTTCCCTTAACTGTTCCACAGGTGCCACGCATTCAGGGATAGGTGTTCCCGGCTTTAACAGCACCACCACCACCACGGGGACAGGCACCGCAGTAGTTGCATTATGGCAGGGTGTATAATCACATGCCAAAGGACGTTCAGATTCTTCAGGCTATTAAGGGTATGTTTCCTATACACGGTACATATGGGCGTGTTTTATTTGATACAGGTGCTACACATTCATTTGTGTCTAGTTTATTTGTTGCCTTATCTGGGATGACTACACAGTTATGTGCTCGACCCCGTAGTATTGGTACACCTATAAGTGTTACTTCTATTTTGCATGAGAGTGATAGGCCTGTGACACTAGATATTGGTAGCCTTAGATTTCTGGCCAACCTAATGGTCTTGGACATGCATTCTTATGATATAATACTTGGGATGGATTGGTTATCTCATTACCATGCTCAGGTTAATTGTCACAATAAGTCTATTGTGTTTGCAATACCAAGTTAGGATATGTATATCATTACAATGCCGCGTTCTAATGGGGGATTGAGCACTCATTTATTGTATATTGAGGAGGAGTCTGAGGAGGAGAGTGCTATAGCATTGGATAGTATACTGATTGTACAGGAATTTCTAGACGTATTTCAAGAGATTCCAGGGTTGCCACCGAGTCGAGAGATAGATTTCGTAATTAATCTAGCTCTAGGTACTACACCTATTGCTAGGGCACTATACAGGATGGCACCGATGGAAATGCGAGAGCTGAAGGATCAAATTCAACAACTTCTCAGCCAGGGTTTCATTCGTAGAAGTACTTCACCTTGGGGAGCACTAGTGTTGTTTGTGAAGAAGAAGGATGGCTCACTTCGCCTGTGTATAGATTACAGAGAGTTGAATAAGGTTAATATTCGTAACAAGTATCATTTGCCCAGGATCGATGACTTATTTGATCAGTTGAAGGGAGCTACTTATTTCTCCAAGATTGATTTGCGATCTAGCAATCATCAACTTCGAGTTAGGGAGCAGGATGTTCCTAAGACAACATTTCTCACTAGATATGGATCTTATGAATTTTAGGTCATGCCTTTTGGGTTGACTAATGCACAAGCTGTCTTTATGGACTTGATGAACAGGGTCTTCAGGGCTTACTTAGATCAGTTTGTCATTGTTTTCATCGATGATATTCTGGTTTATTCTAAGTCAGAGGAGGACCATGCTAGACATCTTCGCATAGTGTTGCAGACACTTCGTGAGCATCAGTTGTATGCCAAGTTCAAAAAGTGTGACTTTTGGCAGCAAAAAGTAAAGTTTTTGGGTCACGTGGTGTCAGAGAAGGGGATAGCGGTGGATCCAGCTAAGGTCTTAGCTGTTTTAGAGTAAGGATAGCCTACCTCACCCATTGAGTTTTGCAGCTTTCTAGGATTGGCAGGATATTATCGCAGATGCATCCAGGTGTTCTCGAAGATAGCGGGACCACTCACCCATCTGACTAGGAATGGGATACCATTTGTATGGGATGAGCATTGTCAGACTGCATTTGACACATTGAAGAACAAGTTGACTTCTGCACCTATTTATAACTACTCCCAAGAGCGGGATAGAATATCTTGTCTACACAGATGCTTCTTTGTAGGGTTTGAGGTGTGTTTTAATGCAGGAGGAGCGACCGATTTCTTATGGGTCTCGTAAGCTTAAGCCTCATGAGCTTAATTATTCGACGTATGATTTAGAGTTAACAGTTGTGGTCTTTGCCTTACGCATTTGGAGGCATTAACTGTTAGGGGAGTCCTTCAGATTATTTAGTGACCACAAAAGTTTGTAGTATCTCTTCACGCAGAAGGAGCTAAATATGAGATAGTGTAGGTGGTTGGAGTTTGTGAAAAATTACCACTTCTCTATACAGTATCACCTAAAGAAAGCGAATGTAGTGGCAGATGCACTCAGTCGCCGACCCTATTGATGTGTTGTCAGTTTATTACCACTCGCAATAGCACGAATCTTTATAGAATAGGACTATATAGAGGGTGTTGATCCCACAGGTAGAAGAGTTTTCTTTGCTTTGTTTTTAATTAATATTTGGTTTACAGGAAACTGGTTGAATTGATTGATTTTGGTTGTCATGAACATAAAACAAAATTAAACTAAATTAAACTAAAGTGATCAAAAAGAGAGAAATCTTAGGGCTTTGACTTCACCACAACTTTCATACTATGGTTAACTATTTCAACTCTGGGGATTTAACAAATTATATTTCAAATGAATTGAACTCAATAACATTCATTAAATTCGAGTTTTAAAGAAAAATGTTTCATAAATTATAGTTAACTATAACCTATCTGCGGTTAACATGGACTATCCACCTACCTACTTTAACTATAACCTAAGCATAGACTATGAAAACATTCATTTATAAAAAAACATTGGAACATCATTACATGATCTCCATTCTTATGTCCGGCAGGACTCCACTAGATACCGTCTAATAAGGATGGGTTGAGTATAGTTAATAAACAGTTAAATCTAAGACAAGGTAATAACAATTCAAAAACTATTAAAACTTTAAAGATCCAATTGAGTTGTCTCAATTGCTCATAATCATGTAATCAAAAAATATAATATATATTAAAATTATCCTAGAGTTAATCTCAATTGCTCATAATCATGTAATCAAGAAATATAATATATATTAAAATTATCCCAGAGTTAAAACAATCAAACCATAGTAATCAGATGGGTTATATCAGTGCCCTAAGAGAGGAATTAACTACTCATGATGACGTAGAATATCATCTGTGTTGTTGTTTTCTTCATCGTCATGGACGGCACTTCTCTTATCAGGATCTTGGAAACCCTAAAAGCCGTCACCACAATATTAGCCTTCTGAATAATACGAGAACAAGGAACTCTTTTTATCAAGGCCTATGCCTTTTATAGAAGAAAATAAACTTCTGGTAAGCCTTTAGGTCTTCTGGCCTATCTGGAATGAATTAAGACTTGTAAAAGAATAATTCCCGTAACATGCACATCTGATCTATCCTAGAAGGCTCGAGCTTAAGAAGTAGAGCTCGAGCTTAAGAAGTAGAGCTCGAGCTTTGGGGCTCAGGTGATGCGACCGAGCGTGTGCACAAAATAATGGACATCACTTTAGGCTTAGAAATAATGTCAAGTGGGCATCATATTTTATAATTTATAAAAGCACTAAACACTTATACTATGGAGTATGAAGCGAGTAGGGATCGTCCCAAGAGATCTAAACAATTTTTGGTTTTCGGAATTGAATTCTACTTTAGTTCTTATGTGATTGCTAAAAAGGGTTTTGTTTATGATGAAAACTAATTTTAAACTAAATGATTGTAATAAAGAAATAGAGTTTAAGAGATTGGAAAGAAACTTAGGATGAAGGATTCACCACTAAACACATTCCCTAACTCACTCACTTTCAACTAATTAGGGAAATAATACTATGTAATCTATATGTGGCTAACAATTGCAATGAAAAGTGTAAACCATCAGTTTCAAGCATGAATCAACTACCTAATGACAATTAAACTAAGTGTAGTGCAATTCACCAATTCAAAGCATGATTCATCAATTCAAGTTACAAATTTAACACACATTAATCTAGAGGATATGTAATTGTAATAATAAGTATGGATTTCAAATAATTATATGGATTGTCGACTTACCTAATAATGAAATTGCAATTAACTAATTTACTTTAAATTAAACAAACCAAACCTGAAATTAAACTATTTAAACTAGACATTAACCTAATTGTGTAGTACAACCCATCTCATATAAGCAATTTCCATCAAATTAGAACACAATTACATCAAATTAATACAATGCATAGCTATCACATGATTCAATTCACAAAGAAATCAAGTGTAAAAATCAATTATCATTCAAAAACATATAAGACAATATGAGATTGACAAAGATAATCAATCAAAATAATTATTATATATATATATATATATCAAGGCTATAACAAAAATTACATAAATTAAATCCCTAAAATAGTAAAAGAGAGAAAAGTTAGGTTACATGCTTAGGGTTTATCCAACCCTAAGTTGAAGAATTAGCCGCTCATGGTTAATGGATGCAAGATGTCAACAAGCCCCATCCTTTGGTTCATCTGGCTCTTCTTCTTCTTCTCCGAACTTTTCTCAAGAACCCTAGCTTTCCTCTTTTTTGTGTTTTCCATAGAGAATACCGATATATCGATTATAGAAAATATAAAAACTTAATAATAAAATCATCAAAAAAAACTCCCAAAACTAATGGGTATTGGTTTCCTTAAATAAGCCTTATTGGAGACCAATACGTTACAAAATAAGCCTAAAACAAGAAAATCCCGTAGCCAGATAAACATCAATCCCGCGATACTGCCAGGTGCTGGGGGATCGATCCCCTAGCGTTGGGGATCGATCCCCCAAGGGCATTTTTAGTTCTGTGAATAGTGGGGGGATCGATCCCCCAGAGTTAGAATTTTCTTTTACACCTTATTTAGCTCCATTTTGGCCCCAGGCTAATTGGTTTGCTTCTTCATCTTTGGGAACATCATCAAAGGCCCAAGAAAGGTAGAATTGACCGCTTTTGAAGAATAAGCACGTTATATGAGCAATGGGTTGCGACCTCTTTTTGCCATTTTTTGAACTTTTTTCGAATGTCTTTGATTGACTCCAAAAAGGCTTTAGTGAACCAAAATTAGTCCGTTTGAACCTTATTGACCTGAAATTGACAAAAATATAGATTAGAACTAAAACATGAAAATAAGATAGATGCAAGGACTAAAGTACCTTAGTTCAGGTGTTGAAATGTGTAACATTTAAGCACTTATCATCAGGCTAGAGCTTTAGGAGCAAAGCTCGAGCTTCCTGGAATTATTGCTCGAGCTTCAAAAGATGGTGCTCGATCTTCAATTCTGTACTTAGTCAAATTTCTTTAACTATTTTCTGAAGTATCTTTTCCTTCAACACTTAGAATATTTTGGGGTGCTCTTTTTTTAACACTGCTCAATCCAATCTTCATAGAGCTCGAGCTCCTGGTCCTGAGCTCGAGCTTTTAGTACTCAAGGCTCGAGCTTTGAATGATGGTGCTCAATCCTTGAGGTCTGGCACGAGGCCCTGAAGTTTGGTTCCTCTTTTAAAATCAACTCTTCAAATTCCA